AGGTTGGGGCGGTCCTGGAGGTTGGGGCGGTCCTGGAGGTTGGGGCGGCTCTGGAGGTTCTGGCGGTTCTGGAGGCTCGGGAAATACTGGAGGCCAGGGCAGCTCTGGAGGCAACGGCGGCGCTGGAGGCTCGGGCGGTCCTGGAGGCAGGGGCGGCTCCGGAGGCTCGGGTGGTTCTGGAGGCTCGGGAAATACTGGAGGCCAGGGCAGTCCCGGAGGCTCTGGCGGTGCTGGAGGTTCAGGTAGATCTGGTTCTGGGGTCCTTAGCAGCTCTGGAGGCTCAGGCAGCTCTGGAGGATCGTGCAGCACTGGTTCCATGCGTTGCTGCGACACTTATGCGCCCGTTTGTGAACCCTCTCGTTGCCTTGCCTGCCTGTACTGATCTCCCTGCTTTTAGTACGAATCTGACGAGGGCAAGGCCTATCTGAAGGAGTATGGCCTGGAAGCTCAGTCGGGCTCAGGTGGCGTGGGGCTCAGCTGCAGCTCCATCATCCCCGCTCTCAGCGACACCTGCAGCTCCAACCCTGTTTGCTGCACAGACGATGTGTGTACATTTTTTTTCATTATGACACTGACACGTCCTAATTCCTCACCAGGATGATAGCGTGCTTTCGATTGTGGTTGGCTGTACCCCCATCCAACTCTGAGAGATCTGGGAGTCGTCTTCGGATATTCGTATGAGCCTGCTTCATGCTGTTGTACCGTGATAGTATTTCTATACCAGTTGCTCGATGTATCTCGTCGCCGCCTAGTGCATCACAGCCCGCTTTCTGCCTCGCATCTCTGGGGCCCATTTGAGTGCCAACATCCTGGTGAGATTGAACGCAGTGTCGCTCGAAATGCTATATCCATATGGCCGAGAATCCGGTGGTCAGATGACGGCAGCGGCTCACTGAGCGTGACTGTATTCTGACCTGCAGAGCAGAAACAAAGACAACGACAATACCGCCACAAAAGGCACAATAATTTTGGTGCCGAAGGCTTGATGAATACATTAAAATAAATGTAATTTAGTGAAAAGAAACACGAAACCGGCGGCCCGGCGCTGCGTACGCGTGATGCAGTAGGACCCCTGATAATTGGGCCAGATTTTGGACCCTATGCCAGATTTTGTCCGAACGTTTTGACCTCAGCCCTCGCCGAGGCCGGGTGGGTGGTCCGGACGTCGGACCTTCGACGAAGGCGGGCCTGATTTTTGTCCGGACGTCAGCGGGGATAGGCGCTTGGCTGACCGACCACATGATATCAACCTATGTCGGCCCGCCCGACGCTAAAAAGGGCAACGCTGAGATAAGATCGACGGACAGCATGGCTTGGATGTTTCAATATTTGCTTGTCTTACTTAGATTAGAGATGTAACCTTGTGGAATAAGAGAGATTACACAGTCTAAAGTTGCATTTGTTACAGCTGATAGCTGGCTCGTTGCACAAGGGAAATTTGCATCGGTTAACATTGCCACCCCCTCGCACTCAGGATGAGGTCAGTATTATTCCCTATTCAAGAAATGGCTCTAACATAGCTTCTCCGCGCAGTGCTCACGCTCTATTGCCGTGGCGGGCCTGGCGGCGGAAAGAATGGTACGCACACGTGGGTGCCAAATGCAGACAAACTTGGCGCGGTATCCTACATCGTTGTGCAGCTAGTGATGTGCGGGCCCGGCTTGGGCTCAAAGCCCGGGCTTGGGCTTGTGACGACGTCGAGCCGAGCCCTGAGCCCGAGCCGAGCCCGAGCCCGGCCCAAGCCTTGGGCTTAAGCCCGGGCTTGCTCACAATACAACGAGTGTTCCGGTGCTATCAAAAGGGAATGTATTTGGGTGTAGTAGATTAATACTGCATGTACTCACTAAATTATAACCTCCAGAAGATCTACACCTGCGGAACAAGTTGAGTTGCAGCGAAGTCCACGGGCGTGCGCCTACGGCAGGCACCAGATGGTGACGCACAATCGTGCTCGGCGAGAGCCGTTACATCTAGAATATCTACATTTTGTCTTCTATGTGCATATTAGGTCGCTCTCTCCTTATTCTGAACTCAGGGAACGGTAACGGAGCCAGCACACCCAAGCCTGGGCTTCCGGGCCGGGCTTGGGCTTGACTACGCTCCGAGCCCGGCCTTGAGCCCGCTGCCAGGCTTGACTCGGGCCAGGCTTTTTGGGCCGGGCTTGGCGGGCTTGCAGGCTTTGAGGCCCGGCCCGCACATCACTATGTGCAGCTGTACGAGCATGCAGTTCAGAACGAGTTCCGCGGTATCCTTCGACAGTTCTCTGCATACCAGGTATTTGCTTTTGCCCACTTGTCCTCTGACTGCTTTCTAGAGCTACTACCCGGTAACGTGACCTTGTTAAATAATGGTCGCAAACTCACTCTCGGTCAGGAAGCGCTCAGCATCTTCCGCTCACTCCAGTCGACACCTATTGCTCAAAAAGTCACTGAAATGGTCAAAGAACTTGTAAAGGCTTGTCGGAAGGCTACTAGGAAGACTTCAGGCACAGGGGTGGATGAGATGGGCTTTGAGGTCGAGGACAACAGTCCCAATCAGTAGTCACACCAATATGTTGCTGTCTATATCATTGTTACTAGTGTCCAACACTGTCTCTCACTAGGTATGAAGGAGAAAATGCAAGTTTGAAAGCCTGCCGGGCGAGCTTGGGGGTGGACAAGATTTTGCTAGGCCTGCCCGTAGTCCGGATGTTTTGGGGGCCGAAGGCCCCGGGGCCTGATTTTGTCCGAACGTTTTGACCCAAAATTGCTCCTCCTGTCCAGACGTTTTTGGTAAAAATCTGGAAGGCCCGAACAGGCATCTGACCCAATTATCAGGGGTCCTGATGCAGTACTAGACTAGATTGGTCATACGTACGGGGACAGCGGTAGAACATCGCAAAACATGAAGCACGCAACCAGGATGCAACGGAGAGCACTGTTGCGATGGTGTCAGGGGGTTTTATGCCAGGATATCATGCTCGGGGCAATTTGAACGGTCTCAGCCGAGTGTATTCTTCAAGAGCGCAAAAATCGAAGCAATAAAAAGTCAGAAGTTGAATGGCGCAGGTATGGATTGCCATAGAAATTCCCGCGCATGTATTCTGATGATCTAAAGCTATTTTTATTTCTTGCCTCTCTGCTGTGTCGTCCTGATAGCTGGTACCAGTGTTTTAACGAGATAGAGTCATGGCGCAGCGTTGCTAGACAAGGCAGAAGTTGATATACATCGGCATATCATGCCGGCGAGGCGTTGAAACCTCTGATCAGGTCTTGCTGCTCCCACACAGAGATCGGATCTATCGCATATAGTAGTTTTGCCTCATCACCAGTTCAAAAGACACTCGTGCGGCATGGTTCTGATCATGATAACGACAAGACCCTCGCACCGAATCGGAACAGCGCTCTATTGCGATAGAACTGTCGTCACACACTCATAGTGGCGGTCTGATATGGATCAGAGCCGAGTCGGAACACGTTAACAAACGAGGGGTTTGCATTGTGCTTGTTAGAACACCTTCATCTGATCATCACAGACCGCGGGGATGCTGACGGCTGATATAACCGGCGATCCTCTGTAGTGACTGCACTCAGGCGACTAGGTGGTAAATCTCTTCTGAACTGCGCGAGGGTGAACGTGCCACTCATATACTTATGTGTATTTTAGCACCACGTTCATTTCTACTAGTCACCGGCCCATGGTGCAGGTTCGGCCAGAGAGCTCCCGCCTGTCCGGCGCACCTACTCGAGGCTTATGCATAACCTCTATCTCTGGTGATTTACATGTTCTCGATAGGAGAAAAGGCCGTTTGTGAGAACGGTGCGTCGGGAGAACAGCACGAAGATTGATGTTGATAGAAGGCCGTGGCGCCAGTTGTTCATAAACCGTGCAAGCGATGGTCTGCCCACTATTCAGTTTATCGCCCTCGCCTATCTTCCTCGCCCATGTCCCTGCAGTCAGACCAAGCTTTCATACAAGCCTACGCGCAAATGTGGGCAGCTGCCTTTGTTGGAGAACTAGTTTTCTCATCTTCATCTTTCAGTCTCGTGGAATACTATGCTAGCTACGCCGTCTCAAGCAAGTACATTCGTTTTACTTACTATGCGGCAACTAATAGCCTTTGCACCTTAGGCCTTGCAATCTACGAGTTCATTGTCACTATGGCCGACGAGATCCGTATCGTCTGGAAGAAGCCCGCCACTGCGTCCGCCATTCTCCTTGGTTCGGTTCGATGGTGCATGCTCCTCACGGTGATTGTGGAACTTGCGCCGCCAACTCCGAATGTAAGCCTCAAATGTCTGAGTTTTCAGCTATGCGATTTCTCAACTGTGATCTACAGGGGTATGGTCCTCAAAATCTTACGAGCAATCAAAGGCTTACAGAAGGCTACCACACAGCTGCAAACCACTCGGTATTCTGACCGACACACTCAACCTCATTGGGTTTGTTCAGACCGGGCGTGAGCATTAAGCTTCTGATCGAATCCGAAGTGCTCACTGACTTCTACACGCAAGTCTTCGCCGCCCTGCGCGTCTTCGCGATTTGTAACAGGAGCTATGTCTGGTCGCTGCCCATGTTCGCACTGAACCTGGTACCATTCGCGATAAACCTGGTGCGTGTCGCCTCTGCTAGAACTCCGTGCGGCTGTCATTGGTGACCGACGTTTGCGTAACAGATGTACTACACAACGTCGAAATACGGGTATACCGTGGAGCCCTTTGTCGGTCTCACATGTGCCGTAGAGTCGTCGTTCTCTGCGCGAACATTCAACATGTAGGTGCACACATCTTTCTGCTGCAGTTTCTGAACACTAAAGTTCTTCCATACAGACGTAAGTCACATCGTCGAGGCCTTTCAATATGTTTGAGACACTAACGCCACCTACTCACAGTCGTGTACGTCAGCCGTTGCTCACTCATCCTCGCCGACACGATAGTGCTCGTCTTGACCTGGATCAGGACATTCGGATACTGGAGGCAAACGCGCCGTGCGAACGTCAGGGCGTCGCTGACGACATGTCTGTTGCGCGACGGTCAGTGCACCTTCATGCGCCATCGTACACCTATTGCTGAAATCTAGCTGCCCACACAGGGACCATCTATTTTATGTGAGTGCAACGTGAGAGCAATCCATCTGATGACATCACTCACAGAATAAAACAATTATAGAGCTCTGCTAGCGATAAATGTTTCCCAGTTGCTTACCATCGACTCTTCTGCGGTATGTCTCGGATATGAGCACGTGAGTCAATGACTGACATCTTACCCAAGGGTGTTGTACCCCTAACCGCGTTCGTCGTCATCCTGGTGTGACCCCATCTTCCGATCGTCCTCTCGATCTCAGTACTTATAAACTAGCTTGCGCAGCCCCCGGTGCTCATCAATCGTTTCATGATTAACCTGCGTGCGGTCGATTCGGACGCATTAGAGCCCTCTTACGGTAGCGATGAACAACGCGGACTGTCGACGTTGCAATTTAGAAGGCCGGCAAATTTCTTGGGGAATATTGGAGAGTCGCTGCAGGATGGCTGGAGTGACAGCTATCAGGGAAACAACTTGGTAGAAGAGGATGAAGTAGATCCTCGCGAGGACTCCACGGAGAGCATCAGGAAAAAAAGTCTGAGACCAGAAGCGCCCCGTGAGCTTCGTAGTTCCAGCAGCCTGGTGGAACTGACCCCTATTACCCTGTGACCAGTAGTCTCCCGCCATGTCTCCGTAGCACCCGTGGCAGTTTGCATAAGTTCAGCAGCATGCCGTGGCAGCCTACATGAATTCAGCAGCATGCCGTGGCAGCCTACATGAATTCAGCAGCACATCGTGGCAATATCGCAGCTCACCCGGAGATACTAGCAGACAGCCTCCCAGGCTTTGCACACTCACTCATTGGAAATAGATTAATGGAAAAATATATATTAAGCACACAATTGTATAGTACATGCTGATGTATGCTATGCTAGATTAATTCTGCTGCGTTAGGGGATAGACACAAGAGGAAAACCTATAACACATAGCAAGTCAGAATAATAGATAAATGATCTCCGGAGGCATGACTCACCTAAGTCTTAAAACTGCTATGCGTCCAGCCCAGGGAGCAGCGCAGGATATGCGGCTGGTGATCTCGAATGCGCATCCATCAACCGCCCTTCCTGCAATACCTGTGCAACAGCGACGAGCTTGTTATGAGGCGCGTCACGAGCGGCTCACGATATGCCCTGCGTAGCTACAGGCGCCCGCGGCTATGCCTGTGCTAGAAATTTCAAAGGCGCGTTCAAGCGCAACGTGCACCCGGTGCTCGCGTGCGAGCTAGGCAAGGCCGCGGCTGAGGTGCGCGAGTGTGAGAGCATGACGTACCCCGATATGCACGACACGGTGGTAGAGGTGGATGGTGGATACCACAGTGGGAGGCGGATTGGCAGATCTTCTATTGTCTGGTACGAGCTCAACTTGACAACATCGAGATTATATAGTCTAATAAACTCACCAATTACCACTGCCCGTAATCCACAAGACGCCGCATCCTCCGCTGAGAAAAGTGAGATAGCGGTGGAGGGCCGTGCTGCCCTCAACAGCTGTGGGTATCTCACCAGCAACGCGGTCGTCGCGCCCCTAGCTCTTGTGGCCTGCAATACTTGTCGTATTGTTCACGAGCCTCTTAGTCGCGCACACAGTGTTGCTTCGTTACTCCGGGGTTTGTGCGCCCGCTCCGCCCGTGATGATGCGACCTTGCTGCCCATGAGAAGGGTATGAGTATGTATCAGAAGAATAGCACTTACGCAAGGACGTCGAGGGCGTCGACGCGTTACCCGTTGACTGACATCATTGACAGAGGCTGACGCGGCGCGGTGGTGACGTGGAACAAGAGGAGAGATGTTCGGGCGCTTATTATT